TTTTTTTTCCTGATCTTCTTTGCTGCGAATTAGTCGCGATAGATAGAGAAGTAGTCGCGAACCAGTCTTCCAATGATCGTCGATACACAACGTATCGAACCACTCTCTCTCTCTCTCTCTCTCTCTCTCTCTCTCTCTCTATACACATCGTCTGAAGATTGAACTCTGAAAGACCGACTCTCAAACAGAGTTATAAAAGACTTTGTTGTCGATGAATCAATTTTTTTTTGGAGAATTACACTCACACTTCTTAAAGTTTATCACTTAATCATTTAAATCCTTAATATTTGAAATATTATAAACAAACCCCTAAAGTTTGTACAAGCGAAACAGAAAGACCCTACTGTAAATATATCCGTCAATAAATTATTTCCAGACCCCCCTAAAGTTTGTAAACATATATTACTTAGGCCCTTTAAGTTTAAAATATTATACTTACACAAAAAATACTTCAATCAAAAATAAAATATCAAATATTTTTTAATATAATGATTATATACATCAATATTTTTTAAAAATAAAAAATATCAATATTTTTTAATACTAAAAAACATCGGTACTTTTTAAATCTAATATAATAATTAGATATATCAATATTAATATTTCAATTTCAATTAGTTGAATATTGATAATGATCAATATTTTCGGTAACGCCCTTATGTTTCATTTTAATTATGTTTAATGTGTTTTTTGATTTATTGTGGGCATATGATGCATGGATGATGATGTTTATATTTTTCAAAAAAATTTTATGATTTTTTCAAATTTTTTTAGAGCTTTTATCTAACGTTTTGAGCATATCGGCCGATACTGTACTGCGACGCCGCGACCGATGTGTATCAATGCCCTCCGAGTTGATGACCGATACCGCGACTTTGAACCATGGTCACAAGAAAAGCGACCTTCATATGGACTGAAGTATTGGCAAAGATTTTGATGATTGATAGTAAGGAGAGATGGGAAGTGTGCTTCTTTGTCTGTACTGAAGTGCTAGAGGGCAGGGAGATCATGATTCACGAGACAGTAAATCTTCTCTTTTTGTAAAAAGGGAAATACGAGATCACGAGACACAATCCTGTCTTGGTGCATTGGCTGGTGACTAGAGAGTTTCACATGCTCTCTTCCTTTCTTGCAGGTTAGAGTGTTTTTTTTTAGGAGAGGGCCACACCAGTTTGCATGACGGTGTCTTTGCACATTTTTGCAGTGTCTGCACTAAAGCACAGAATTGTCATTCTCTTCAGGGAGAAGAGATGCCAGCTCAAAAACTAATGCATCATGCAGATGCGCCAGGCCGCCCTTTTTACCAATGTATTCAATGTGTATGCTTCTGTTGTGCTCCTTCTGGTGCTTTTATTGATCTCTATGTCTTGTTTATAAAAAGAGTTGCAAANAGAAAATGCACAGTCGGACCGTTACTGTTCCAGCTTCTTATATGCCTCGTAGTTTTGGCGGGAGTTCCAACTCTGTGACTTCTCTTCTGAGGGTCCGTCTGTATAGTGTGCAAGTGTCAAAATAGCAGTGTCTTTTGTTCTACTTTTCATGCTTTCCTATTTTGCATTTAGACATTTGACGGCTTACTTCGGACTTTCCATTTGGGGGAAAAGTCTATGGTACCATATCTTCTATGGTAAAATTACAGTTTAAAAAATAAAATTACAACCGCTCGGAGGAAATTTATAATCGATCACAAATACATACAAAAACTTTGCCTGAGTAATTATAATTTGACTCTTAAAAATTATAAATTATACCCTAAAAAATTTATAATTTAGACCTCAAAAAATTATACCTTCACCTGAAATTGTTATAATTTTTAGTACGATACCTCTTTCGGTACAGTAATTTTTTCTATCTATTTGTGGTATTTGATATTTTATTGAGAAATTTAAACGTCGATCCTCCTTTGTGGAGTTATTTGGTAATAAGTCATAAAATGTTATAAAATTTAAAATATTTTAATATTTTATTAGAATATTTTTAGTTTAAATATAATATTTTAAATTTAAGAAATATAAATATTATACACCTACAAATTTTAAAAAATTTAAATATATAATTTATTAACGAATAATAACGATAAGGTCTAAGTGTTCTGCACACAAATTTTGTGTAGGTTTGTACGTAATAGTTTAAATATCAAAAATCTGATGAGAAACAGAAAACTTGATAGATAACTGTTTTTAATATTTCAAATTTCTCCCCATATTTTTTTAACACATCGTTCTTATTAACGAGTGAGACACATGGTAATAGTAATCAATAAACAGAAAAGTTGATAGATAACTGTTTTGACTTTTGACCGGCTATTCTCAATATTCCACTCAAATCTCTGACTTAGATAACATAACATCCACTGAAGTATCTCTTTGACAGAATCCCCTGCACATGGAATCGTAGACTAATCTCCATTTCCATCACCCCACAACAACAGAACTCTTAGGAAATGGCTCAGCTTGCAGAGACCTATGCATGCGTGCCCTCCACAGAACGAGGCCGAGGAATCCTCATCTCCGGCGACCCAAAATCGAACGCGATCTTATACTGCAATGGCCGATCGGTGATTATAAGGTATTTGGACCGGCCACTGGAGGTGTCGGTGTACGGAGAGCACGCGTACCAAGCTACCGTTGCTCGGTTCTCGCCAAACGGCGAGTGGATCGCGTCGGCCGACGTTTCCGGCACCGTTAGGATTTGGGGGACCCACAATGAGTTCGTCCTGAAAAAAGAGTTTAGGGTTTTGTCCGGGAGGATTGATGATCTTCAATGGTCCCCTGATGGACAGAGGATTGTTGCTTCTGGAGATGGCAAGGGCAAGTCCTTCGTTCGCGCTTTCATGTGAGTATTATTTGATCTTTGATCTCTCTCTCTCTCTCTCTCACTCGCTTCGTTTTGGTGGNCTTCGTTCGCGCTTTCATGTGAGTATTATTTGATCTTTGATCTCTCTCTCTCTCTCACTCGCTTCGTTTTGGTGGGGATTGTGTTTGAATTGATTAGGTATTTCTATTTGCGAAATTGATTATCTTTTATTGAATTTGATCTTCCTACATAGTTTTATGAGTGGTCATTGCTTTTGTTAACCCGAATGCTGGGATAGATGGATTGAATACCGACTTAATCTTTGTTATTACTTTGCTATACTTTGTAAGACCTGACTCATATAGGCAAAATCTGCGGATCTAAAAAAATAGACCCTATTTTCCGAAAATTCAAAAATAGGAAACATTACCTATATGGCTTCAAACAAAAATCACCATAAGACTCCCCACCAAGTGTTGATCAGGACAGCATCTCTGGCGACCGGCACTTGCTGATGGCATGCTGGCGTCAGCATGACTTCAGCCCTTGGCTGTTATGTTATTTGGTCTTGAATTAGTGCTCTGATACAAAGGTGAAATAGCAGAAAATAGTATTAAGGTTAGAAATAGAACAGAAGAAATAATTGTGGTGTAGGTTGTGTTGCCCCTACACTTTGTTATTTATAACTTAGTAATATTTAAGGTTGTTACAACATTACTCTACACTAATTTACTTATGTTTAATATCGAAAATAAGAACTCTAACCAAAATTATATAGAGAGCCTAGTTATTGAGGATAATAGAAATTCTAAAGAGTTTAGAGAAACACATTTTTTTGTAGGATTAGGCATTAAAGAAAATGATGATAGGAAAAGCTTTATGACCTGATATTATACTTATTGAGGTTTGGAAGTGTCTAGGGATGTTGGAGTATTATGGCTCACTAAATTATTTAATAAAATTATAATGACCAATAAAATACTTGATGAGTGTAGGAAGAGTATTCTAGTACCTATATAAAAGAATAAGGGAGACATACAAAATTGCACAAACTATCGAGGTATTAAACTAATAGGTCATTCAATGAAACTTTGGGAGAGGATTTCAAACAACGATTTATGAGAATCAGTTTAGATTTATGCCTGAGAAATCAAAAATGGAATCTATATATTTACGTCAAAGGCAAATGGAGAGGTATAGGGAGAAAAATAAGAATCTTCATATAGTTTTTATAGATTTAAAAAAGATATATGATAGAGTTCCTAAAGAGATATTATGGAAGATTTTAGGGAAGAAAAATATTATTGTTATATATATTAATGTTTTTAAGGATATGTATGAAAATGCAATGAATTTAGTAAGAACAACGACAATGGAGATTAATGAATTCCCAATTATTGTAGGTTTACATTAATATTCTGCTTTAAGTCCATATCTTCTTGCGTTGATTAAGGATGAATCGAGTATGCACATTCAAGATGAGCTCCCATGGTGTATATAATTTGTGGACGATATTGTACTAGTTGATGAAAGTAAATAAGGAGTTAATAATAAACTAGAAATTTGGCTTGAAACTCTAGAATCAAAAAGGATTTCGGATAAGTAAGACTAAAACTGATTATATGGAATGTAATTTTAATAAAAGAAGAAATTGAAATCAAGTACTAAAAATTGAAGATCAAGAGATACCAAAGAGTTAACACTTTAAATATTTAGGGTCTATTATTCATAAAGAGTGTGAGATTGACAATGATGTTATTCATAGAATTAATATAGGATGGACTAAATGGAGGAATGCATTTNCTAAAAATTGAAGATCAAGAGATACCAAAGAGTTAACACTTTAAATATTTAGGGTCCATTATTCATAAAGAGTGTGAGATTGACAATGATGTTATTCATAGAATTAATATAGGATGGACTAAATGGAGGAATGCATATGGTGTATTGTGTAATAGACATATACCCATTAAGTTAAAAGGAAAATTCTATAGAGCGCCCATAAGACCCGCAATGTTTTATGGTACTATGTGTTGGGCAACTAAGAAACAATATGTTCGAAAATTGTACGTGGCAGAAATGAGAATGTTAAGATGAATGTATGGTAAAATTAGGAAAGATAGAATTAGGACTAAATATATCTTTGAAAAAATAAAGGTAGCACATATAGGATATAAGTTAAGAGAGAATTGACTTAGGTGGTTTAAATTTTGAATATATTTATAGAAACCTAGACTACTTACTACGACATTGGTGAGAAAGAGTGATATGATAGTTATTGAAGGTAAACTTAGANTAAGTTAAAAGGAAAATTCTATAGAGCGCCCATAAGACCCGCAATGTTTTATGGTACTATGTGTTGGGCAACTAAGAAACAATATGTTCGAAAATTGTACATGGCAGAAATGAGAATGTTAAGATGAATGTATGGTAAAATTAGGAAAGATAGAATTAGGACTAAATATATCTTTGAAAAAATAGAGGTAGCACATATAGGATATAAGTTAAGAGAGAATTGACTTAGGTGGTTTAAATTTTGAATATATTTATAGAAACCTAGACTACTTACTACGACATTGGTGAGAAAGAGTGATATGATAGTTATTGAAGGTAAAGTAAGACCAAATTAACTTTAAATGAAATAGTAAAGACAGATGTGATAACCTATGGTTTAATTGAAAATATTGTTCTTGATAGGGTTCAATGGAGAAACAAGATTCATGTAGCTAACCCCAAAACATTGGCACAGGACTTTGTTTTGTTGAGTTGAAAATTAGGAAAAAAATAAAATTTATGGAGGGAAAGCTTCTCAAGGCCCTTCTCTCCTAAATTGATCAGCGCAGATATAGATTAGAGCCACCATTCTATTGGGGTTAGGGGGTTATGACCCCAAAAGTTTTAAAATCACCTTTTGGTTGTAACATTGTGTCATTTTTCTGGATGCTACTCAGCCTCCTTCATATGTGAACATTTTCAGTCTATCTCCCTCAATTTTTATAGTGTTTTGTCCCAATCACAGTTGTCCCAAGCTCCCCCCCAACCACCCCCCACCCAAAAAAAGGAAGAAACTTCATTTTTGCCCCTCGTGGTTAAGCTATAGGAATAGCACATAACTCACTCATGGTTAATGGACTAAAACACACTATTCCACTTTTCAACCATTTTAACAGTGTGTGCAACACGCGCCTATAGTGAGAATTGGTTTATAAAATAAATTTTAAAAACACAAAAAAACCTTTAGAACCAGACACTTTTCTTCCTCCTTCATTTCTTCCTGTTCTCCATCCCTTCCACCCCTACCCATATAACCATAGACATTGTTGACAACATGCACGACCACCTTCCACAACCACTAGAATCAAACCCAATTCATTTTCCACCATCTATAATCAAACCCAATTCATTTTCCACAATCCATAATCACCATGGCCACCTCCCACAATCAAACCAAACTCATTTTGAACCACAAACACCACCCATGACCAAAACCCAAATCAAATGCAGCCACCATTCCACTACTTCCCCACCCAGACTAAGTTGAAAGTATCTCCTTAAGAGTAATGGCTGTGAGGATTGGTCTTGTTTATAAGATAATACAAATTTTTTCACAATGGAAAAGATCAAAACAACGTCCTTAAAAGATGATGGTATATTGGAGACCAACGCAATGATGATAGTGGAGACCAAGAATGCTTCTGGCAGACCAAGAAGTTGATGACTCAATTTGTGATTTTGCCCTTGATTTTTAGAGTAGTGCAGGCGAGTGGGAGTGGACAAGAGTATAGCTTTTGATTTATTAATTTACAAATAAAGATGTGATGAATAATGGTTATTAGATATGACGTACGGACACTCTCGAGAACGTGACGTATCCGTGTCGGACACTGACACTCTCGGACACGTGTCCAATACTCTTTTATCCATGTCCATAATTAAATAATAAATTTTTAATTTCAGACACTATTTTGGTGACATGTCCGACACTTTTTTATAACGTGTCTACTACTAAACAATAGACATTTGTTGAAATGTGATTAACAAAGTTTAAAATTTTGAAAACATATAGTTACTAATACTAGACATATTAAAGTTGTAATCCAAATATAATAATAAAAACAAAAGATATATAAAAATTATAAAAAAAAAAAAATTGAGAAAATGAGAGTAATTATTTAAATTATATATTAAGTACACATTGTTTATAAAAAAAAATTGATGATTATTGACTATAATGAGGATGTTTTAGTCTAAAAACTCACAGATGACTAGACATTAGGTTTTCTTATTATAAAATACTGATTTTTTTATGAATTGTATATCATTATCACTATATTTGAAATAAATTATTTAATGTTATAAATAAAATATAATTTTTTTGTAGTGTGTCCGTGTCCGTGTCCCACTTTTTTGAGAAATATCTTATCGGCATGTCCGTGACGTGACNTATTTAATGTTATAAATAAAATATAATTTTTTTGTAGTGTGTCCGTGTCCGTGTCCTACTTTTTTGAGAAATATCTTATCGGCGTGTCCGTGACGTGACGTGTCGTATCCNTCCGTGTCCGTGTCCCACTTTTTTGAGAAATATCTTATCGGCATGTCCGTGACGTGACGTGTCCCATCTATGTGTCCATGTTTCTTAGAGTATTAGAGTCATTTTATAAATTCTGTTAACAGGGTTAAGGGTGCACTTAGGTCCACTAACTAACCACATGGGGGTTACCTGCTATTTATAAAGCTCAGGGAGGTAAAGTGCAAAAGAGCTTAACCATGAGGGGATAAAATGAATACCCAAAAAAAACAAGAAATTTGGAATTTCGGTGTTTTATGGCAGAGTATGCAATCAATTATTTTTATTCAAATGGTTGAAATGTTTTATCATCTCTATATGCGCAATCCCTAAAAGGCTGTTATCAAGTATACGCATCTGATTCATTGATTTTATCCTTGCATTCTGAGAGCTTCAAATTTTATTCATTATTATATGATACATTTCGAGTGACTTTTCTCTTAGCATGCTTAAACATTTTTGAATTTGAGGGATAAATATGCCATTTAATTTGACTTTTTTTGTCTAATATATTTTGTCTTACGCCCGTATGAATTGCCTGCTCCTATTCATTAAGGTTTTATATAATAGTTTAAGAGTTTAAGTAATTTGCCTCTTAGTATGGTTAAGTATTTTTAACTGTGAGGGATCCTAATTTCTTTTGACTTAGCATATATGAATAGCACCAATGTATAAAATTTGATCACTCATCTGAAATGAGTTGCATTATGTATAAGGTTGCCTACCACTTATTTTTTTTCGGGCCCTGCTATAGGCAGGAGCCTTTTGCACTGGTATGAATTTTTTTTATGACTTAAGAATTACATATGCACATTATTAATTTGTTCTTTTATTTTGTACACTGTACTACTCTCTTATCGGATGAACTGTTATGCGCAGGTGGGATTCTGGAACTAATGTGGGAGAATTTGATGGCCACTCAAGGAGAGTTTTAAGCTGTGCATTTAAGCCAACAAGACCATTTCGTATTGTCACGTGTGGAGAGGACTTTTTGGTGAATTTTTATGAAGGACCACCATTTAAATTTAAGCTATCTCACAGGTTTGTTATTTTCAATACCATACTAAAAGAGCTATCTCACATGTCTTTGACCCCTGTTCGGAGCTAAGAATGAACTTAGGAAAAGATTATAAGGCACTACAAATGACCACCCACCACCTTCTATTTACATGTGATCACTTAGATATTTTTATACCAAAAAATAGACTTAAATGTGTCGTGCTGAACGTGTGAGCAAGAAGGGTGATTCTAAAATTTTGCATGTGGGGCATTTTATAGCATGTGATACGAGGCTTAGAGTCAAATTTGCTTCATGTGTGGAGTTATTTCAAGATAATATGCTGCTTGGCTTTTGTTATTTTTATTGGGTAAATTACAATGACATCCCGTATATTTGGGCTATTTTTCGATAACTCCTAACATTTCATAATTGACATGACAACACACTGACATTTCGATGTTGCAAGGGCAAGACACCCTCCAGCACTGTAATAGATGGTTAGCAAATATTATACTTTAAATGCCAATGTTTGCCCTCTAATAATTTTTCATGACACTAATTGACTAATTTTGACCGAATTTTGAAGGATAAATGAGTCATTTCTCGACGGAAACTCATTGTTATTTATAGAATGTCATGAACTGTCATTGTTATTTAACCATTTCCATTTTGTCGAGTTTTAGGTGTTAAGGGCATTTAATTGCTCTCACTACTGGAGTGACACAGATAGCAGCCATAGTACGGGTCATATTTTGGGTGAAATTATATTATGTGAGCTTTGTTGGGAGTCTTGTACAGTGTAGAATAGTTCTAGAGTCTAAGTTTCTTAAGTTGTGTGACTTCTCGTAACACTTGCAAGTTTCTTATTCTTTCTCTTCTCTTCTCCTCTTTTTTTCATTTTTGTCTGTTTACTTTCTTCTTTGGGCTCTTATTCCTGCAACCAGATCCGAATCTTCCCTTTTCCAACTGTAGAAACTCTATGGTGAATAGTTCAAAGATTACTACTATCAAATGCTTAATTTTGGGCAGTAAACCATAAAGCCAGCCATGTCTATTGTTTCCGATTATTGTTTGGGTCCTGAACTGCCCCTGAACCTTTTCCATTATTGTCCTATAACAAAGCCTAACTCCCTTCCATATNTCAAATGCTTAATTTTGGGCAGTAAACCATAAAGCCAGCCATGTCTATTGTTTCCGATTATTGTTTGGGTCCTGAACTGCCCCTGAACCTTTTCCATTATTGTCCTATAACAAAGCCTAACTCTCTTGCACCATTCTAAACCTTAAAAACCGCAACTTTGGTAACCATTTTCAGAATCACCCACTTAGAGGCCTTTCTTCTTACTGCACAAGTACAAGTTTTAGTCATTTGAAAGAGAGCATTTCCCAATCTTTTTTTTCCAACATCAGCGTGATTTACAATGTAAATATTGATCGGAGGATAAAAAAGATGGACTAGTGCGTGAGACTCCTGACTCTACGTAGCCTGGGGACGATCAAATGTATGCAGGCTGACCTCCACATGGTTGTTCCATGGCTCAAACACGTGATACTCAGATCACAATAGAACAATCTTACCACTGCTCCTAAGTCGGGCCTTANGACTCCTGACTCTACGTAGCCTGGGGACGATCAAATGTATGCAGGCTGACCTCCACGTGGTTGTTCCATGGCTCAAACACGTGATACTCAGATCACAATAGAACAATCTTACCACTGCTCCTAAGTCGGGCCTTATGAATATCAACAACGGATAACAAAAAGTATAATAGAAAGTGGACCCGGTTTGCCTATGCCACAACTTATAGTGACGGAATTATTGGCAATAGAGTCTGGTCTGGTGCTTGTATTTAAGGGCAGTTTTAGAAATCAGCTTCTGAGCTGTATTGACCTTCACTAGGCCGAGCAGTCATAGATGCTACCATGGGCTGGTTACAAACTTTACTTACAATGTCACTTTTCAGCATTGTTTTTGCAGTGAGGTTAATTTTTGGTCAGTTGCCTGGTCACCTTCAAAATTGATGTGTGTGGATACTAGAGAGTAGTGGTTTAATCTCATCGTAAGATCCAATAATTTTCCCATTGTGCATGAACGTGTTTAACTGATGAACTCTTCCGTCGTGTATAGTCAGAATATATTGTTACAGTAACCAAGTGCATGCCTTTCAAATTACCACCTGTATAAGTGGGTTCTGGAACTGGGTATGCTTCTTATTTCATGAGCTACAACATCTTCAAAAGCTCTTGGCCTATTAATCTGCAGGGATCATTCAAATTTTGTCAACTGTGTGAGGTTCTCTCCAGATGGCAGCAAATTCATCAGTGTAAGCTCTGACAAGAAGGGTATACTATATGATGCAAAAAATGCAGAGAAAATTGGAGAGCTATCTTCAGAAGATGGTCACAAAGGCAGCATATATGCTGTTAGCTGGAGTCCTGATAGTAAACAGGTAAACCCTGTGTCGCTTCCTAGTTGTTTCTGTTATATTTCATATCTAAAAGTTAGTTGGACATTTGATCGTCTTTAATTCACTAATCACAGTGTCTTGTTTTCTGGGAGTTAGAAGAAAGATCAAAAGAAACATCATAATGTGTACTGGTTTTGTTATCTAAAGTTGAGGGTCTCGTAACCTCTCTCTCCATGAGGCAGGATTTGCTTTTGGAAGCTTTTTTTTTTTGTTGTGGAGAGATTGATCAGCTTCTGATAAACTCTTTTCCTATTAATCTGGACGTTCTTTCGCTGGAACTGTAAATTCTGTTGAATTGTTTAGAGACAATAAGTGAACATACGGTTACTTGTTGGATACAACTAGCTCATTTTCGTACATTCCTATTACCGAGTAGCAAAGGGGAGAGAGGAGCAAATCAATTTTTTTTCTTTTTGTTGATTTTTATTAAGAGGAGGTAACTGAGAGGACACAAAATGTAGCCATTATTATCTTCTGCTGACAGGTGCCTGTTATTCCCTGCTCACATCATTTTGTGTCCGCATGCATGTGCTTCTTCAATTTTAGGTGCTAACTGTGTCTGCTGACAAGTTTGCAAAATTATGGGAGATATCTGATGATGGTAATGGAAAGGTGAAGAAAACGTTAACTTCTCCAGGTTCTGGTGGAGTTGATGACATGCTAGTTGGCTGCCTCTGGCAGAATGATTTCCTTGTCACTGTTTCTCTTGGGGGGACTATTTCTTTATTCTCAGCAAGCGATCTGGATAAAACCCCCCTACTATTGTCCGGGCACATGAAGAATGTTAATTCATTATCAGTGCTCAAAAGCAACCAGAATGCTATATTGTCCAGCAGCTATGATGGTTTAGTAGTTAAATGGATCCGTGGTGTTGGATTCTGTGGTAGACTGGAGAGGAATGTGAATGCTCAAATCAAATGCTTTGCAGCTGTTGAAGACAAGATTGTTTCCTCTGGTTTTGACAATAAGGTGACTAAATATATGAAAGACTTGTGCTCTTATCCTTTAAATCATATGTGGCACTCTCTCAGTTTCTTCAATGAAGAATTTTTTCGCTTCTCTGAAAAAGGAAAAGGAGAAGCTTTCTTATTAGACGCTTATAAATCTTGCAATCATATTGATTCTCTACAAGTGAAGTGTATCACATTCTGCCTCTTATGGAATTTTGTTGTCTCCTTCAAACCCCAAGATCGATAGGCATGCATACACAATGACAAGGACATTCTTGCATGTNGATTCTCTACAAGTGAAGTGTATCACATTCTGCCTCTTATGGAATTTTGTTGTCTCATTCAAACCCCAAGATCGATAGGCATCCATACACAATGACAAGGACATTCTTGCATGTATATTTGGTTCGTTATTCTCTATAAAACATGAATACGGATATGAGACAGGGTACGACACGATACGGATACGGCGATATGACAAAACCCCAAAACATATGATAAGGGTACGGCCAGGATACATAAATAAATATACATATTTTATATTTGTACTATTACATTTTTAGTGATTATTTAACAATTATAAACAACATCAACAATTTTTTTATTTTCAAAAGATTACGTATCGATTCACTATCGTACATCTACAAAATGAACATGACTAATTAAGGGAATAAGAACCAACATTTAACTAGATTGTTTGCTTTGAAGTATTTGTTACTAAGATTATACAGTAATCAACTCATTTATACTCTTTCGACATGTGATAATATATAATACTTGGAAAACACCTATTTGTCTTCAAAGTCATGGATTTTGTTGATGTATCACATTGTATGTGAAATCAAAAGGAAGAAGTTAATATTAAAACTAAAAATTATACATACTTCTGTTCCGATAAAAGTATCTACAAAGTATCCATATATTTTATTTATTATTGGATACTTTTGATATGTATCTGATATATATCTTCGAGTATCATATCTAATACAGATACGTCAACCTTAACAATGTATCCGTGCTTCATAGGTTATTCTTCTCTACTATGTTGTAAGCATCAATTCCCCTCATTCATATATTCAGACTGCAACCAATTTTATGCTGTTAGAATTAGGGGTAGCCGATGGAATGTCATTCATATATTTGATAACCCACTGGGACTAGGCATGTTAGACCTTTTGTTAAGCTAATTTTTTCCCCTTAATCTCCTTTTACAAAAGGTTTCTAAATAATTTCTAACTCAAAGTTCATCTATTAACCTGGTGGTATTCTATCATACGTAATGCTTTCTTTTGTTCTATATCTAATCCTCAGGTCTGGAGGGTCTCGCTGAATGGAGATCAATGTGGGGTTGCAGATTGTGTTGATATTGGAAGTCAACCAAAAGACTTGAGTCTTGCCTTTCTTTCTCCTGAGCTGACCTTGGTTTCAATTGACTCAGGGGTTGTCCTCCTTCGTGGAACAAAAATAGTGTCAACCATTAACCTGGGATTTCCTGTGGCAGCATGTGCGATTGCACCTGATGGAAGTGAAGCCATCGTGGGTGGTCAGGATGGTAAACTGCATGTATATTCTGTCACAGGCGATATTCTTCAAGAAGAGGCAATCCTTGACAAACATCGTGGTGCTATTACGGTCATACGTTACTCTCCAGATGTTTCCATGTTTGCTTCAGGGGATGCCAATCGAGAAGCTGTTGTTTGGGATCGTCTCTCTAGAGAGGTAATTCTGTCACCATCTTCACAGTTTATTGACAATTTAGCTCTCGAACTCTCTTTCTTGGGTTCTGTCATTAAGATTGTGTCCAGTAGCAAGTTTGCATCTATGATGCACGGATATTGATATGAGTAAGATATGGTACAAACATGGCGGTATGCAAAACCTAACAATAGACTACATATTCGTCCAAAATACTTCTCTGACAGAATATATTTTTAGTTTTACTATCATCTAATGATTATTTTTGAATTTCTTGTAAATTATTTAATAGCAATTTTTTCTTTCAAATAAGCGTAGAGTGGGTGATCATGATCNTTTACTATCATCTAATGATTATTTTTGAATTTCTTGTAAATTATTTAATAGCAATTAAAAAAATAAGCAATTTTTTCTTTCAAATAAGCGTAGAGTGGGTGATCATGATCCACCCATAAAGTGAACATGGCTAATTAAAAGAATCAGAATCAACATTTAAATAGTTCGTTTGCGTAGAAGTATTTGTTATCCATAAATAGATTGAATTAGCCCATTTTATTCCCTTTTGGTATGAGGTAATAGATACAACTTTTTATTTCCATTTTATTTATTGTCATGTGATATAACGATAGTCCATGGAAGGAATGCAAACTTAGAAATGCATAGAAGTGTCACTGGTCTGTTATATGACAATAGAGTGTCACAACCTGCCTGTGCGTGTACCTATATTTTTAAGGGAATGGTACTATCTAGCTAAGGTGCCTGGCTGTAACTTTGTAGTTTGGGTCTCCTGGCTTACAAAAAATTCTTGCATTTTGCACGACAGCATCAACCATATGAAAAGCTGTTTTAATAACAAAGAAAATTTTCTGTCATCATCTTTTTAATGTATCACATTTGCAGGTGAAGCTTAAGAATATGTTGTATCATACTGCTCGCATAAACTGCTTGGCTTGGTCTCCTGATAGCTGCATGGTTGCTACTGGATCGCTTGACACATCTGTTATTATATATGAACTAGACAAGCCAGCATCAAGCCGTATAACCATCAAGGGAGCTCATTTAGGTGGGGTATATGGGTTGGCTTTCACTGATGAGTGCAGTGTGGTAAGTTCTGGTGAGGATGCTTGTGTCCGTGTATGGAGGTTAACTCCACAATAACCAAGAGGAATGCAGATTTCTACAAGATATCGAGTTTGTGGAAGTGAAGTCTTTTGAATGTGTCGGGCTCTTTTGCAATTTGTTTTCTGTTTGTTTGGCTTGCAGTAAAGTGGAATAAGGCAAAGGACATTTCTGGATCTAAAAAAGATGAGATTGGATTGGCCTAAGGTTTGGACCAATTTTTTGTAGAGCATAGGAGCCCTATCTAGTTATTTTGTTAGTTGGCTGACTAGCACGATTTATATTTTACTCGGGTCTCCTACCTTATTTTTATCTTGGACCTGAGATGTGATTCTGTTTAGTTTTGACCTGTGATTCAACAATGATGCTGTGACATATAGTACTCTGAATTCCTAGCATTACAGGTCAACCTAAATTATCATAGGAAGGCATCAAAGATGGTATCTCAGCTTAAGTATGTCAGCCTAAAAAAATTGTACCACCGATGTTGCATGGTGCATTCTGGAAGAGATGAACATGTTATGATTGCGGGAACTGGGATGAGAAATTTGGATCTCCGCATTCACTTATTGTGTGCCTCCTTCGATGGTTGTGTAGCAGGGTTGCAGTTTCATTTTGGTATTTGTTTGGAGAAATTTGTAATTAGCTTTCTTTGTATGGTGCCAGTGTGACCATCAGTGTTCTTTTTCGGTTTTTTTTTTCTTGTTTTTCTGTGATAAATGAGCTTCATAGAAGCAACTGCCTCAAGTGTCTGTGCTGCTGTGACAATTTACCATGTTTCAAGTTTTTTGATAGGATTGCTTAATGGTCGGGTGCTTCCTGAGAGTGAAATTTCAGACTGGGCTGTTTGGCTGTGTCGAGAATATTCAATCTGTTCTGGGAAGCCCGGTTTTGTGTAGTCACTGTGTGTTGGTGTTTTAACCAAGTTGGATTTATTTTTGCATTTTATGTTTTGTTTGGTACGATAGAAAATAAAAGGATGGAAAGTTAGAATATTGAAAAATTGGAGAGATATATAAAACATAAGAGAATGAAAAAGTGGATGAATTACTGGATGAAAAAGTTAAATATGTGTGTTGAAGTATATGCTAATATATGCATATATTATATTTATTTATTACATATTATTTTTTATTTTTCTTTGCTGGGAAAATTTAAGTATAGAGTAAAGAGAAAATAGAAAAGAAATAGGCTAGCTAATTCCTAAACTAAGCGGGTATTTCCCTGAGCATTGCTTCACACACCGAGTTTGGAAGTTGGTGGTCAGGGAGAATGCCCGTGTACTTGAGGGCATTCTCCCCCATCGTGCTAACTCTGTGCTGTTGTGTTTGCATCTCTGTAAGTATGTATCAAATTTGAACGCAGATGAATACTGAGAAATTGCTTCAGATCTTGGATTATTGTCCAAATCTGCCATGGAGTCCTTACCCATGGAAGCATAACTACGTGAACCACAGTTTGGGAGTCACTTTCAATGGTGACGTAGTTCCAGTATTGCCTTTCTGCCCAAAGAGCTGCATCTCTGGCTGCTAAAGCTTTTACCATGAGAGGAGTCATTCCTGATTCCGGTGTGACTTGAGCTTCTCTGACTGATCCATCATGCTCCCTTGCCAATGCTAAAAAACAAGAGTTCTCTGAACCTATTGCAGCATCAACGTTGATCTTGACCTCTCCTTCTTGTGGTGGGGATCATCTGTAACTTGTTACATGGTTGAAATTATTGGAACTGGGGGCATTAATCTGGTGATCATATGTAGCTCTAAGCTCACACAAAAGAGAGTCAATGTCCTGGAGGATTTTTAAGGGTCAACTGGTTTGTTCTAGAATCGGACTTGGTTCTTCCATTGCCATAGTTTGGATACTATGACTACTGCAAAGTGTAACGATAGAGAAATGAGGGGATTGAGGGCCAAAAAGGGAGGTGGGATGAAGCAGGTGATGGATCCATTGTTGGAAGCTTAATTCTAGGAAGCGATCAGTGTGCAGACCCCATTTATTGTACCAGATACCTCGAGCAATAGGACATAGGAAGAAAAGATGTAGCTCTGTTTCTGGGTGTTGATGGCATAATGGACATGTGATGTTTTCAATGGGAATTCTTGTGTCCAGTAAGCTCTTTGTTGGGAGGCCCTCAGTGATGGCTCTCCAAAGATTTATCTTGTACCTCTCATGAATCTTGGTCTTCCAGAAAATTTTCTGGTTGCCTTGATCAAGGTAATGACTTCCCAAGTCTTGTGTTCCTTTGAGTATTTGATAAGCTGATTTGGACGTAAAGTCACCATTACCCAAGGGGATCTATGTCATTTGATCTTGTCTTGGATATAGGGGGAGGCGAATCTGTTTTATGGCATGTACAGTTTGGTCACTGAAGAGGCTGGAAAGAATATCAGCATTTCATTCTCTGTTTTCTTGCTCAATGAGATCTGCCACTTTTGCTGGTGGGTTGTCACATTCTTGATCAAGCTGAACTTTAAAACCAGAAAGATTAGGCACCCATGGATCTGTCCATATATTGAGGGATTCTCCATTCCCCACCAAGTAGAATGCACCTTCTTCAATTATTTGCCTGCAGTCAAGTATGTGTTTCCATACACGAGAGTCTTGCGTCTGTTTTTGGACATAGAAAATGAATTTCTGCTGCAATACTTTTTTTGAAATTGTGATGTCCAACGCTTCTGAGAATTTGAGACCAATCGCCACCCCGGTTTCGTTCCACATCACCGGGATAAATTTTGAATAATACTATTGGGACCTAAAAATTAATATAATTTTTTGACATAATGATGTATCAAACGATAGAGTCCCAATAAAAAAGTCACGAGTTACGGTTATAACAACTCTATTAGACCATATCATTGTCACATCATTAAATCAATAAATTATATCAATTTTTTAGATTTTAATAGTATTAGTCATAAATTTTAGAGTATTTAATGGTTCCTTGTATATTCATTTTGGGACTAGCTTTGCTTTTGGATACATTCCATCATAATTGTATCCTTGTATTGTCATATAGCTTAGGTTATGGGGGGTTATATTGGTTGGTTGGTTGGTTGGTTGGTGTAATATGTTGGTCCTTGGTTTTTTTAGGTTGAGGCTTGTTTGTGTATTAGGGTTTATTTTATGTCCTGGGCTTGGTGGGTTCGGATTTTGTGATTACTGGGGGCTAGGTTTTGGGGTTTGAGGGTATGAGGTTTGGTCATTTAGGGTTTCAATATTCTTCTGAAGGGAGGAAAAAATAGAGCAAGCAGCAATGAGTGAGGATTTAGTATCAGGGCTTGTTACATAATTATCTTCTCAGCAATTTGTTCAACAGTATTGCTACGCCGACTAAAATTAGAGTTAAAATAACATGAGAGCTTAATCAGCTTTTCAAATCAGCTACGTGCCATTTAGTAGGCAAGATTAATATTTGGGTTAAAATCTTTTTTATCTTTCCCGCTTCCACTGTCAGATACCCATCAGACCCACCTTCGTCTCTCTCTCTCTCTCTCAAAACCGACAAGCAAATGCTCTCTCAAAAAATCGAGGACGCCGTCAATGCCGTCGTTAGGGCCAAGACTCCCGATCCTGTTCTCTTCATGGCCAGTTCCCCCTCTCTCTCTGATTCTGTTTTCTTTGTTGACTCAGTCTCTTCACCGAGTTGGTTACTGGGTTGTTCTTGCTCTGGTTTTGGAGGAACATAGAGATTTAACATGTGAGATCTCATATGCCCACCCAAAGCTCTGCCCTTGGCAATGCCCTTTAAGCAGAGCTTACACCTATTTTTCTTCATTACATACAAACAAAAACTACTCACAAAATGCTCTCTCTCTCTCAGTTCTAAACACCGATGGTGAGCTACTGAGCCATGGCAGAGATAGCAGGGAGTGTGGAAAGAGAAAGAGCAAGCAGTGCGAAGAGATAGAGAGACATAAAGGTGGGTTTGGGGTATTTGACAGTGGAAACGAGGAAGACGAAAAGATTTTGGATTATTTGACTACTGAATGACATCACGGCTGATTTGAAATATTAATTTTGACTACTGAATGACATTACGGCTGATTTGAAAAATTGATTAGAGTGTCGTGTCATTAAAATTTTAATTTTGGTCCCTAATTTTAGGCAATGTAATATTACTATTTGTTCAATATAATGACAAGTAAATAAATAAGAGAAATAAAAAAAATTAGGAAAATACTATTTGGGGACCTAATTCAATACAACTATTAGATTGATTGTGGGCTCCATTTAACATTGAAACTCACAACTAATTTAATGGTTGTATTGAAACCATATCATTAGGTCCCCAAATAAGGTCTCTATAACATTGCTCAAAAAATTAAAACACGGCTCACAATACCAAGATTACGAGTTTCAGCAAAATTACTTTGTCTATGTCCATGAGGCGTGATTCAGTCCCTTTTCTTTACTATTAAAAGAAAAATAAGTATAATAGTACAAACCTCACTACTCATGTTTAAATTTCAAACTCAAGCCCTCGATCCCTTATACAACTCACTCAACTTTGCCCTCTTAAAACCCCAATAAAGAAACCTCTTGTCCTCTCAACAAAATAATGAAAATTGAACAAATATAAATTTTGGGCTGNTTAAAACCCCAATAAAGAAACCTCTTGTCCTCTCAACAAAATAATGAAAATTGAACAATTATAAATTTTGGGCCGATCTCAAAAACAAGAGACTTATGCCTATTTTCATAGGGATTTCAAGGTGATGGCTGATGAACTTATTTGTATTTAAACAATACATTTAATTGCTTCACTTGTATTCTCTAATAAAATTTTAACAATAACATCGTCTAACTAATTAAAATTTATTTTATTTTTCCTGAAAGTGAGCCACCACCTCACATTATCCTCTACCTAAATGTCAGACGTGTTGTTTTCAGATGAGAACTATAGTTTGTATACGGGACTTGAGGAGAATTATAAGAACATAGGCATAACCCGTACCTGAAGGTACAATAAAATGTATAATTCGAGTGTCCAAAAAATTAATTCCACTATATTAAATTTTTTCAATATGTGTATATAAATAATGTTTGAAATAAAAATTATATTAACTATAAATTAATTAAATATTAAATTTACTAAACATATGATAGAAATTAGTGATATGATATTTGTAGGGAGAAAATATATAAATAATTAAATATGTGATAAAAATGAGTTATGCGACTCAACTTTTGAGTATGACAGAAGAATGATGGATGAGGTAAGTGATTGGTGATGGTTTTAAGGAGAAAAATATGACTGAGATAAAATTCAAAGTATGAGCTGTTTAATTATATAGATTCATGTTTTTATTTTTTGATATCGTACGAAAAAATATAAAAAAAAATTCAAAATCTAACAACTTTTATCCCAAAAAATAATAAATTTTACCCAAAAAAGTGATAAATAAGAGAAATTTTTCTATAGGTATTACACATCACCTGGCTTTGCCCATGTGGTATGCACAGCAAATAAATGTCTTCCACGTCACTGTTTTGTCAGAAATTTTTTAAAAAAGACAACTCAGCCACCCAATTGTGTTTATAGATGGAAAGTTAACATAGCAAACTCCAAAAAAAAAAAAAAAAAAAAAAGCCTGTCCTTTTTACTCTTTTCAAATTTCAAAAACTCTAAAATTCAAAACCTAACTTTCCATTACCGTTTCTTTCTCTCTCTATAAATTTTTCCTCACCTTCATACCCGGAAACACTCTCACCACCACCCGGGACGCCGGCGAGTCCGAGGGCAAAACAATAATATTGCTCCCAGATGACAAAGTGTTCTCCGATAAGTACCCATTTGTGATCGTCAGAGTTTCCACAAGCTCCACTGAATTATCCTCAGTCGGGACGACACCATCTGATTTGGTCTCAATTTTCTTCCCGAAATTAAAAGATATCGACTATTTAATACT